CCATAGCCACATTGCCGGTGGCAGCAGGATGATGCTGAGCTGGATTTATTTATTTTTTTTTTTCTTCCATCTGAATTCACATTGCCAAGAGCCGCACCTCCTAAATTGCTGCGGAGGAGGCAGCAAAACAGAGGCGCAAGACCATGCAGATGCTGCGCATCCATCGCGGTGATCTCGCTGCCATGCCAACACAAGCATCGCCGCTCCACTCAGCGCCACAATTACGCACCGCGCGGCCGCACCTACAGCCAGGCTGCTCCTTGCGCAATGGACGATGGCAAACCTGTTGGTGCTCCAGGATTTTTGATAATAAACCAGAGGGCAAAAGCTCCCTGGGGAGATGAAGCCAGGCTTGGCTGGGCCTTATGAGGAATTGAAGGCATTTTGGAGAAGCGGAGGGTTGGAGATCCTGACTTTTTTGCGTAGTTGTGGCCACGTGTGCTTTGCAACTCCATGGACTTGTCTGGATGTTGTGGAAGTAGAGGTGTGCTTGTAGTATGAACTGATTGCATGGAGAAGTCAGGTAGCTGCAGGCTGGTGTGACTGGAGCTTTTGTGTTCTAGCAGGACCAGGAGTGATGCAATTGGGCTGATTTCCTGGATTTCAGGTGCAAACACTGTGATGTTGGGTTGGTCAGTGCTATAGAAAGGGAGAGAGCTGGGACCAAGGCTAGGTGGTCTGAGCTGAGGTATTGCAGGCTCTTACACTTGTTGTGAGCTCATCAATTTGGGCTTACAGAGCCCAGAAATCTCTCTTTTGGAAACCCAGTCTTGCTTTGGAGACATCCAGTCTCCTGCATTCATGGGCCGTTTGTTTCCCAGACTGGTGAGCCTTGCTGCTTAAAAAACTGAAGAAAGCAGCAGCGCATTCCAGAGATTGCAACTGTCATAGAATCACAGAAAGGTTGGAAAGACCACTGAGATCATCATCCTGATGGTATCATATGCTTTCTTTGACCAGTCCTGAAGGACACATGCAGGCAGATGTTCACAACTGACCACGAGAGTGGCAGGAGCCTGACACACTGCCCTGCTGTCAGATGTTCCTACTGGATATGATCTGTGCTGATTGAAAGTACACACTCATGATCCATTCCTCGCTCCCTTCACACTGCAGTTTTCATCACGTGCAAACAAGGGCCATCACCACGTCCCCCCAGGTCCGTTGGATGGCTCAGCAGCCCCGTTTTGTGATCATGCTGTATGATGCTTCCACATCCCCTTTGCAACCCCAGCAGCAGCAGGGCTATCAAGTGGCTGTGCAAAGCGGTTTCTGTGCACGGCCATCCATGATGAATCTGTTACTATATTAGGTCCATTGCTGAGCCATCTGCCTTGGCAGGCAAGATGACATTCCCTGGCTGCAGGCTCTGGGCTCTCCTTTCCTGGCTTGGCCACAGAGCTGCCCGCTGGAGCCAGGCACTGCCTGCTTTGATGTCATTTGTCAGAGCAGGGTTTGCTATCAGTTATTTGCTTGAGGCTGCCTTGCCCTTTTAGGGGCAGAAGGGGCTGTTTCAGGAGACATCGGTGTGTTTTGTGCAGGAATGTGCCTGCCTGCTGTAACACTCCTGGCATGCCGGTGCTTATCCTCCTGGCTTTTTTTGGTGCCAGCTGCGGTGGAATTTCTTATGCCAACTGAAAAACAATCCCTGCCTGGTTTAGCTGCTTTTTGTAACCATGCAGATCAGGAAATAAAGGGCTTCTTAGTGAATTTTGCCCAATAAGCTCGTGCAGAAGCAGTGTACCTAGTCCTAGTCCATGGAAGAACGTCTCAGCTGCATTCTGAGGATGTGAAAATTGTGCATGTCAGTGTTGGCAGCAGCTGGGGCAGGGAGCAGAGCTGCAGCTTTCACTATCCCAGGAGCAGCAACATGTCAGAGGGGCTTTGGTTAGAAAGGGGGGTGTGCTCTGTGTTGGGCTGGGGGTCTTGTATGGGCTGCAGAAGGATGCCAGGAAACAGCACAGCGCTCTGCTTGCAGGCAAAAAAGACGCCGGGCTAATGATTGACTATTATTTTAAGGGGATTATCTAATCCACAGCCCAGAGGACAAGAGGGGCCAGAATGAGTGAAGATTGAATACATGATTAACACAGATTGTTGGTCATACCCTCTGGACTCCAACTGATTATAAACAGAAACACATTTTTTGAGTTCTCTCCTTCCTTTTACTGCTCTCTCCTCCCCAAAAGCCTTTGCAGTCAAAGGGCCACTCTGTGGCAGAAACTGTTGCAAATTAGACAGGGTGTAGCTGGGCTTGGACTTGGTCATCAGCTGGCCCCTGATCAGTCAGAGGAGAGTATCTTTCATTTCTTCCTTCCATGTATCAAAGACCAGAGGGAATGGCCTTACATTGCTCCAGGGGAGGTTCAGGTTGGATGTTAGGAAAATCTTCACTGAAAGAGCAGTGATGCAGTGGCACAGCTGCACAGGGAGTGGTGGGATCACTGTCCCTGGAGGAGCTCCGTATCCATGGGGATGTGGCACTGAAAGATGTGGTTATGGGCATGTTGGGGTGGGGTTGGACTGGTTGATCTTAGTGTTCTTTTCCAGCCTTAATGATTCTGTGATACCGAAGGTCATTGGAAGTTAAATGGAATGTATTTCCACCAGTTACAGGCCCCGTTATTAATACAAAATAAAAGACATATGGCTAAATCCATTAGCTTAAAGATACAGCTGAACATAAGTCCAGAGAAAGAAGCGATGCAAGGAACATTTGAAACCAATGCCACACCCCAGCACAAAGCTTTGAAGTGGTTTAACAAAGCTAGGAAAGCATCTCTCAAAACTCTAATGACAAGAGGGTTTCTGTTCCCTTTTCTTCTTCCTTGGGCAAAGAATGAATGAGAAAATCAGCATCCTTGCTGGGGTGAAATCTCATGATTTGAAAAGTGGTCTTTGCTCACAGTCAGGCGAAATCTCAGAATTTGAAAACTTCCCCTGTAAAAAAAAAACAAAACAAAACAAAAAAAAAACAACCAAACAAAAAAAAAACCAAACCAACAACCACACACACACACACAAAATCAGAAACAACCAAACCAAACCAAAAACCAACACTCAAATGATTAAAGTTTGAAATCATCATTTTGATGCTCTTGGGTTGGACCTTTCCCAGAGGGTTCAACAGCTGCACCCTGTGCCTGCCCTGCCCCATGGGGGAGGTGTGTGCTGTGCCAGGGGACAGCAGCTTGAGGATAAAAGCAGGAGAGCTGCAGAGAGGAGGAACTGCATTGTCTGGGAATCTGCTGGAGGCATTATAGGTCATTTACCAGGCAGGTTTTGCTTGCACCTGGCTTTCTGTTCTCCCTTCCAGCCATTTCTGACCCTTCTTGATGGTCTGAGCCACCTCACTTGTCATACTGCTGTTGTTATGCTTTTGTTTTGCAGTGTTTGTTTGGGGATTTTGATTAAGAAATATTGCTGCAGTGTTTGCCTTGGCAGTGGTCCTCATTGGGCTGATGTGGCGTTTTTTAGCTGGAGTGTTTGTTCAGGCTCTTGGATTCTTTCTCAGGGGTGGGGTGGGGTGATCCAAGCCCATGAGTATGCTGGTGATCCACGAGGGCTTGTGAATGGCTTGAGCCAGGTTGTCTTCTGATTGAAGCCACCAGCTTCCTCTGCATCCAATGGCCCAGCTCTAGGGATAAGGCCAGCAGGCTTAACTGAGAGCATCCAGGTGATAAACTGGCATGGCTGAACAGGGCAGAACCAGCTTTAGCAGGGGGTTAAACTAGATGATCTCCAGAGGTCCCTTCCAACCCTTTCCAATCCTTTCTGTAGGCTCTGCCAGGACTGTCAGAACTTTTTGGACTATCAGAACTTTTACACAGTTTTCTTGGGTGGGAGCTTCCATGTGCTTCTTCTCAAAATCCCCGTGTTGCAACAGCAGCAGGCTGGTGGCGTGACATCCTTTCCCATTCCTCACTCTCTGGTGCTTTGATGAGGCGGACAATTGATGGGATGGGTGTGCTGAAAGTGCTGTAAGCAACATATTTTGTGCATGCTTATGAAAGACTCCAAAAGGTCCTCACAGCAGGAGGTACATGGTTTGGGAGGATATTTGTGCTGGCCAGGATTTCTTCACTCGTGCACCCATCCCTGCAGTGCGTGCGGAGCAGACACTCTTTGCTTTGCTGAACACCCACTCTTGGCTGATTTTTGGGAGTATCACTTCAACAAGCCAAATCCTCTTATCTGGAGCTGTTGGAGTTGGTCCAGAGGAGGCCACAAAGATGCTCAGAGGGGCTGAGCACCTCTCCTTGAGGAAAGATTGAGGTTGCTGGGGGAGTCCAGCCTGAAAGGCTCCGGGGACACCTTTCAGTACTTAAAGGGAGCTTACAAGCAGGAGAGAAACTAACTTTTTATATGATCTGATTGTGACAGGACAAGGGCAAATGGTTTTAAACTAAAAGAGGGGAGATTTAGGTTACATGTTAGGAGGAAATCCTTTATTCAGAGGGAGGCAAGGCATAGGCTGCCCAGGAAGCTGTGTATACCCCATTGCTGGAGGTGCCCCAGGTTAGACTGGATGGGGCTCTGAGCAACCCAATCTGTCGGAGGGCACCCAGCCCATTGCAAGGGATTGGAACTGAATCATAGAATTGCTCAGGTTGGAAAAGACCTTAAAGATCATCAAGTCCAACTGCAACCTAACCGTACTACCCTAACTCTAACAACCCCCTGCTAAATCATGTCCCTGAGCACCACATCCAAATGATTTTTAAACACATTCAGGGATGGTGACTCAACCACCTCCCTTTCCAACCCAACCATTCTATGATTCAGCGATCTCTTCTTTCTGGAGTGCCTTAGAGTTGTGAATTTTTAGTCTTTCAGACTTCAGGTTTGCCATGGGATACCAGGGATTGGCTGGAGGACCCAGGAGGTGTTACTGAGCTCTTCTGCCCTTTTCACCCGTGCCAGGCTGCCCCAGTGCAGATAGGGCTGGCTGCTCCCCACACCACATGTGCCACTAACCAGCTCTCTCCTTCTGCTTTCAGAGCTGTCATACGACGTGGACATGGACGACACCTTGGCCAACAAGCAGCTGCTGAACCAGCACAACAAAGATGGGGTTGCCGTGCCCAACACTGACCCCGGCAGCATGGCCCCACGCCTTGGCCCTACTGCTGCCATCACCTTAGCCCTGCTGCTGGGCTGCTGGCCCTGAGCAGTGCTGCGGCACTCAGTGCCTTCCCATCCCTTTTTTTAAATGAGGAAAATGTTCAGAACCTCCCTGGAATATATGCACATTGCCAAAGACAGGGCAAAGGACTTGAGTGGATTTTATAAAATAATACGGTATCTTCACCAAAAAAAAAGAGAAGAAAAGAAAAAAAAGGGTTTGTTCATGGTAAACTAGTAAATACATCACAGTGTTTTTAAAGATAATCCTATTTAATATAAGAAGGTTGATATTAAATTGTCCCTAGCAGTTTTGGAAGACTGAGCTCTGCCTTGCCTTTAACGGAAGAGCGCATTTCATCTTGAGTTGTTTGAATGTGCATGGGGTAAAGAACACCTAGATTTATGAAGTACTCTCAGCAAATATCAGCCCCCTGTTCCCAGTTGACTTAATACAGACTTTTTCTGTGGTTGATGCAATTTTTGTACTCTCTCCAAATCGGGGAGTCATCCTGAGGCACCCGGCCAGGAACAGAACCCGGCAGGACTGGGAAGATCGAATATAAGGTCAAGGAAGAAAGGTGCTGTTGGTACATGTGCTGGGACTGCCAGGTATTTGCTAGCCTTGGCGTGGCTCTGGTGCCACCAGCCCCAGTGCTGTCAGGCAAGCAGCAGTGAGAGAACCTCTCAGCAGCTGGGAGTGAGATGGAGAATGGGACCACTGCCTTTCTCTTGTCTCCAGCTGTGGGTCCCCACCAAGGATGCCCATGTGTGCAACACCCTGTTGGAGTTCTTTGGAGCAAAGCACCACCTTTTCCATGGGAAATCTGCAAACGCAGTCCAGACAAAGGGCAGACAGCATGGTTGTGCACACCTCCGTGCTTTATGGGGATGAATAATGCATCCAACACACTGTGCTACAAAGGAGGAAAAGAAAAGGATTTGCAGGATCCCAGAGGCAGATGAGACTCTTGCTCAAGTGTTTCTTTGCATGCTACTTTGCTTAAGCTGTCTCTAAAATAAAGGTCGTTTGCTCTAGACACGGTGCACATCAAGTAAGCTCCTGGCGTGCGAGGCGATGCTCGGCGTTGTGATGCTCGGCGCTGGTCCTGGATGGGCAGCCTGGAATGCCCAACTTAGGGGCACCACTAAGGGCTGCGGTTAGGCTGATTAAATGGGCAGGGGCCAGGGAATGTTTGGTTTGGTTCCCAGCCAGAATGGTTACATATTTCAGATTAAGATGCTGCTTTTACTGGAGTGATCCTATCTGCAGTATCTTAAGCTGTAGTGTGCCTGTGTGCACACATGCACGCACACAACCACACTTACGTGCATGCTTTAAATGTTTGTGTGCCTCTGACCTTATAAAAAAGAAAAAAAGAAAAAAAAAAGGAACTGTATCTTTGGGAGAATGGAAATCCAAACCACACAATCAAATGGTTTGGAGAAGGGAAACTTCACCTCTTGTTGCTTTGAAGTAGTGGAGCTGATCTGCACTGACTCAAAGCCTTGTGACTGCTTTCCATGCTGTGATGCTCACAACGTAGTGGAGAGGGGAACTGGGAGCTCACTTCCAGCTTTGCATGAGGATGGGGACCCAAAAGGTGGGGGCCGAGGGATTTCTTCTGCACTTCAAGCCTCCCACTGCCCTGCTCTCAGCACTGTGGCTGGCTGTGCCCATGAGCCTCTGCTCCCATAGGAAACAGAGGAAAGGGAATATGTGATGAGAGCCACTCGTCGCATCTGATCATTTTCTTTCATCCCTCTGGAGCGCTGGGGGTGGGAACAGGAGGGCCATGGGTCTGCTCAGAGGCATGCAGTACTGTTGCCCCAGCATGCGTCTCTGTGATCAGCATGGAGGATGTTCTTGCCTCTAATCCCGTGCTGAAGGTATTGTGTGTGCTGCTTCCTCCTTGGATAAACAGCAGACAGTGCAGGCTGTGTCTCGCTGGGTATCTTACAAAAGCTGCCTGGTTTCCCTACTCTGCGCTGCTGCGGTGTGATGTTGATGCTTGTCAACAGAAAGCCTCTCTGTAGCATGCTGAGCCCATTTTCTCGGTGCATGGACATGCTGTTTAGCAAAGCTGTGTTGTTTGAGACTTTGTTATGAAAAGAGATCACAAAAAACAGCTTTGCAGCCTTGTATCTGCCAAGTCTCTAAAATAACGCGTGATAACTTGGAGAAAGCTGTTGATTTACACCCTGCAGTGGGTTTGTGTTTTAACAAAGGTTTTGCAATGGTTTATAATCTTCATCCAATTATTTTTTTTTAGCCATAACTGAGAGTGAACTTAGAATCGTAGCATCATTATGGTTGAAAAATGACCACTAAGATCCCCAAGTCCAACCCCAGCCCACCCCACCGTGCCCATCACCACGTCACTAAGTGCCACATCCCCACAGTTCTGGAACATCTCCAGGGATGGTGACCCCCTCTCCCTCACCCCCACTCCTTGGGCAGCTGTGCCAGTGCAGCACTGCTCTTTTGGAGAAGAAGTTTTCCCTGATATTCCACCTGAACCTGCCCTAGAGCAATCTGAGGCCAATCCTTCTCATCCTCTCAACTCAACCCCACAGATCTCCCCACAGAGCCCCATTTGATGGTGGGCTCCCAGCACTGACCTCTGTGTGAGCTCTGTCACCACACCGTGCTCAGCCCATGGCAGTACAAGCCTGCTGAGGATGGAGCAGCAGTGGCACAGCACCAGGTGAGTTTGCCAGCAGCCTGCAAAGGGTGGAGAAGCACCTTGTGCCAGTGTCTGAGGGTAGGATGAGATTCCAGCACGTGCTTTACATGTGTAATGTACTTCTGTACTAACCGTGCCTCAAATTATAATGTAAAACCAAAATATTTTTGTTGGATGAGAACGCCTCGTCCATTAATCAATTGACTAGTACTGTGTAGAGCATGGGATGCTATAATCTAACACACTTAACAGCTGCTTGAAACAGCTGCTGCTCATGGCTCTCGCTGGTTTGAGAACTGAGATCTAGAGTGCTTCAGTTCTGTCTTTCAGGGGAGATTTTCAGGATTGTTCCTTCATCTGTGCCAGCTTGGGAGCGGGGATGTAGGTGCTTCTGCTGCATTACAAACCCTGCCTGTGCCTAATTTGTTGCTTTAGCAAGGACCCAGGTCTGGAGGTGTTGAAATCTGCAGCTGGAGGGGGAGCATGTGGGACAATCCTACTGGAGGAGGATGGTCCTCAGAGGGGGACTTTGGTTTTTCTGCCTTTCGTTGGGGTCGTGGTGAAGAATTGTGATGGAAGAGATGCTGCAAAAACGATGAAAAGGTCTGTGGGAAGAGGTTTTGACCATGTGAATCAGGTAGTGGGTGCCAGTCTGCTGCTGGGAAGGGCTAACAAGTAAAACTGGGGAGGGGTGGGGAGGGGGAGAAAGGAAAACCCCACAAAAAAAAAGCAGCCACCAACCCCCTAAAGAAGATTGTCAGAGCCTTACTAAAGGACATTCCCCAGAGATGAGGTAACTGAAGTTTTGATATAGACAGATGAAGCAGCCCTGGCATGTTTATACAGTCAGAGGGTTTACTGCATTAAAAAAAAAAAAAAAAAGACACCAAAAAACAAAACAAAAAAAACAACAGAAAAGCAGTCGGCATTAATCAAATATCGTTTATTTTGTCAAACATTGTATCCTTTTGAAAACAAACATCTTGGTGCTGTTTTGCCCAAAGCGTGCTCGGAGCTGAAGCTCACATCCAGCCCCAGGCAGCAAGGGGCCGTATCTCCTCCTGCAAAAGCCACTTGGGACAGCAAAGGCACCATTAGGGTTATGCAGCATTATTCCTGATGCTCCTGGGCAGCCAGAGGCACACAGAGGCTTTTCCTGACTGCCCTGCCATGTTCCCAACAAGCAGAACCAGTCTGGGTCTGCAGCAGCCTGTATCCCATCAGTGTCATATTCTATTACCATCCACCGCGCCAGCAAATGGGAAAATAAACACGGGGCAGATAGCAAAGCAAGAGGCTGTTTATTACCGATGTGAAGGAGAGTCACGTTTGTGTACATTCTGCTGGGGAGTGCACTGAAGTGGCTCCTTCCCCATGGTGTGAAATGGGGCCGTTGTGGGGTGCAGGCGTCTCGTGGCACTTTAGGATGCGCCAGGCGATGCGCTGTCCCCCTTGGTTATGGTTAACGCTGGAGCACGGCTCTTGAAGCTGGATGTCAGCAGCTGACAGTGTTTTCTGAGAACTTGTCATCTGGACTTCTTCTAGCAAGATTCCTGGTATTGGGTGGGATCGTTCCCGTTTGATGGAAAAACAATGTTTTCTGGAAAAAAAAATAGAGAAGTAGTAAAGGGAAGATGGTGACAAAATGACTCATGACATCCATCTGAGACCAGCAGCACCACCCAGGACATGTCCTGGGGTTCCCCGTCGCAGCAGAGGATGCTGTTCCCAGTGCAGCAAGGTGCAGTGCTGGCTGCGTGTTGCGGGCGGCCCTGGTGTGGCCCATCCCTCAGTGTGTGCTGCCAGCACACATAGGGAACACTGGGCAATACTGGGATGCTGCTGGGCTAAGCAGCAAGGGTGGTGATTGGCATGGATAATTGCAGGGGGGTCAGGGCGTGTGGGAGGATGATGATCTGTGTTTGTGCCCGGTAGCACCTGCCTTAATTGCTGCCTCTTAGCACAGGTGCTGCTGCTGGATGCTGCCCTGTGCTCTCCCCCAGCCCAACCCGAGCTGCAGGGGCAGGAAAACACAATCTTTGTGCTGCATCCTGCCCTTCTGGGGGTGGCTTCTGTGTTTTGTGTCATGCTGGCATGACAATTCCACCCTCAGAACAGCCCTAGGAGTCATTCTTGGGCACACAGTTTCCTATATCCACCATCCCTCATGTACCACACTTAGTCCATTCTGGTCTGGTTTCAGGAAGCAGGGATCTGGGCTTGCAGGTGCATAAAAAAATAAATCTCTCTTCTTTTTCCTTTAGCAAACATGGCTTAGGACCATTCCTACCAGCACCAGTGGCACTGTCAGGACTCATTGCTGTGGACTATTGTTCTGGGTCCCAAGGGAGCCATTGGAAAGAGGATAAAGCATATTTGCCATTGCAATAGAAACAAGATGAGAATTAGTCCACTAATCACCAACTAAAGTCAAACATATGGAAGAAAAAGTGGAGTTATTTACGTCTTTCTCACCCTCTGTGCACACGGATGGTCACAAAGCACCAAGCTATGGGGATGGCAATGGGTCACCGCTCCATCCCAGCACTGGGGAAAAACTTTGTTTGCACCACTGGGATTTTCTTCAGAGCAGAATGTCCAGACGGGGAAATGAGCCATAACTGTGTGCAACAGCTTGGATGCAAATGTTGAGCAGTCGTCTATCTGCTGGGGAAGGAATAAATAGAGACGTGGGTCTTGCACCTTTTAAACACTGCATGTCTGCGGACTGTGAATGTGGCTATGGGATTTGCATGCTGCTTTATTTAGTACTACATACGCTGCCTTGTGTTTACAGAAACCGCCCTGCACACACCAAATGTGCAACCACAATGAAAAAAAAAAAAGTTTTAAAAAAGGGCACAGAAATAGAGGCAAGATCTTGTCGCCAGTTCCCCCACTCCATGTCTGCGGTGGTGTTCAGGGGGAGCCAGCATCCGACCTCCTGCTTCCCTTCGTGCTGTTGCTGCATTGTGAAGCTGAAGGTTTTCTCCCCCACTGATTATTTGTCTTTCCAGGGGACCGAAGGGAGAAGGCTGTAAAAGTGGGAGATGGCCCTGTTCTGCCATGGAGCACTTGGAGGGTGCCATGTGTGTGCGGGGGGGTGGCAGCTGCCATGGGGTGTCCTGTGCCGGGTGTCACCTCCGGAAGAACTGTCACAGTCACCTCTAGGGAGGAGGAGTGCTGCTCGTATATGCTGGCATGACAGTGCTAACTGTAATGATAATGACCGTAATTACGATAACTGCTCTGCAGCTCAGCCTGCACGCATCCTCGGACCTCCATGCTGCTTGCCTGAAGCATTTCACAGCGTTTAGCGACTGATCGCTTGGGGCCGGATACACATCGCTGGTTGAGTTTGAAGAGACCAAGCGGTCCCTGATGGGTGCCAGACTCGGGCAGCTCCACGGTGGGGCACCGCAATAATCCCATCTCCCAGTCCAAGCTCCTCCCGTCCCTCCGTCCGCGGTGTGAGATAAGTGGATTCCCCAACGCTGCTCAGACAGCTCTTACCACCTCTTTTACAACACATCACGTGGCACCTGGCTGCAAGCTCTGCTGTTTGCTCTTGATCTTATTGCTGTCAGTGTAAGATGGGTGTGCGGATGTTTGCCAGGGCTGCTGTCAGGCCAGGACCTGGGCTGTGCTGGTGGAGGGGTTGCTGCTCCCCTTTAGCCATTCCTATTGCTGCCAAACCCAAGTGGGACCTGGCTGTGCAGGCAATAAAATCAGTGCAGGAGGCACTGAGTGCATCGTTCTGGCACATTTCAGGGTGTATCCCCACGTGTTGCCATCCGGATCAGTGCCACAATTGCTGCTTGTCCATCTGGCCAAGGGATTTGTGTGGCCAGTTAACCAAAGTGTTAAAGAAGAATTAATGGTCTCAGTGTACCCTGGTGTGATTAGCACTGAGAGCTCATCCAAGTGTGCACGTTGCTGATGCTCCACCCTCCATCACATCTCAGCACTCGGAGGCTGAGCCCTGAGCACTGTGCAGCACCAAATTGTTGGCCGTGTAAGACATTTCTCCACTAGAGAATACCACTGGGAGCAAGGCCAGGTGCTCTTGCATTTGAAGCCCCAGCACTGCTGCTGCAGGTTGCAGCATCTTTCACCAGACAGCAGTCCATTGCTTTAGCAACATGAGGGAGAACGGGAAAGATGGTGAAGCGCTCTGGGTGTGCTTCAGCCTTTCCAGATCTGCACCTCCTGCTTTCCCTTTCAGCAAGCCCATTTTGGGGTGGATGGGACCCTTTGCTTCATCCAGCTGCACGATGCTGTGCTTCAGATGTGGCTGCAGCAACTCAGGAGCACTGTGTGCCTCTGAGATGAGTGTGGCTTAGGGGCTGTGTAGGAAAACACCCCCAGGAGCCACTGTCATTGGAAATGTCATGGTATCATCATTCCAGCAGCGTGCAACTGGAGAAGGAGGCCCCAAGGCAGCCTGGCCCGCTTTAGGGACCAAATTAAATTTAAAAGAATTTTCAAATTAAAAAATAATTGATTTGGAGTTCCATCCCTGCCATCTGGTTTTGCATGTTTTGGGTGTGAGTATTCCTGCTGCAGCCTTGGGACTTGGAAAAAAAAAAAGACTAATAAGAAAATTCCTCTTTAAAGAGGTAAGACACCAATCCAAGCACTGGGCACTTGCATTCGGTGTTGTGCAACCTGGATGGCAGGAGCTCAGCACAGTGCTTGCTGTCAGACCTGTTGCAGCTCCATCAAGCTTTGTTTCCTCAATTTCAGTTAAGATGCTCTGCGTAAAAATGCATTTTTCCATGGATAACTTTGGTTTGGCCATCAGCACTGAGAATTGCTGAATGTTTTTCCACTCATATAAGATCCTGGGCTAAGTATTCATCCCAGGGTCTCTATAGGAGCAGGCAATGGGGAGAACAGTGTGCTGCCAGGGGGAGAGCAAGCTGCTTTGCACCAAGAGCCATCCCTGGATCTGCCATTTTAGACCAGATCAGGGCCAAAGGGGTGCAAAGCAATGATACAGCAGTAGGTAGGATGCCGGCCTCATCCCTGCGCTTCCACACTGGGGACAACCAGACAGCACATCAAAGGAGCAGCACTGCTCCCACTGTCCCCATCCCATATGGAGCATGCTGCTGGTCCTGTGGCCACCCACACAGCCACACACATCCATCACTCATCCCTGCTGAACCTCACCACCGGCCACCGCCCTGACCCCACCATCTCCCTCTCTTTCCCTGTGGATTCAAGTGCAAATGCCTCAGGGCTGCGTGCTGGACAGCCCCTGGCACCGCTGCTGACGTCCCACGTCCCTCCAACTGTGTGACCGCACTCCTGGGTGATTTACGACAGGAAACGTCGGCTGCGGGGTAACAAATGGCCGAGCGGTTTCCCTTTTTTTTTTTTTTTTTTCCTTTCTTTCCCCCCTTTTCTTCCTCCTACTGCAATAAAATGACTCTCAGTTTTTCCCCTTTCTCCCCGATCTATGCCCAAACCGCAATATTGGTTAAAAATATCATCTGCAAAAAGAAAAGACAAATAAACGAGCACATCAAAGCCGGCTGCCTGGGGCCGTTCTGCTGGGAGCAGCACCAGAGCCGGGCGCTGGGCCCATTATCTTGCTGATATCTAATGCCACCACTTCAGAGTGTGAGAATGGAGCTTTTCTTTTTTTTTTTTTGTACCCGCTGAGCGCACCGGGAGCACAAAGGACGCCATCCACTGCAGCTCCCAAGACATGTTGACATGTTGCTCTCAGATTTCATTCCTGAAAATCTGGAACTTTACGCTGAACAAATAACACGATCTTTTCCCTTCATCTGGAAAGGATAAAAACAATTGCTGGCACTCGGAGCAGATCTCGCTGCTTTTTCTCCCTCTGCTCTCCTCACAAGCTCCAGTTTGCTGCCCGCAAGTTCCTACTTGCACATTTCCATCTGAAAACTTTAAACTATGGGGGCTGCGGAGGGGGGTGAGAGTGGAGGGGAATGAAAATTTCTTTTTTAAATAGCATTCTGGGAGAAATAAAGTCCCTGGATGAAGTGCTGGGTGCTGCAATGAGGAGCTGCAGAGCTCACCCTGACAGCGTCACTCGTATCTGCAGGCCACAAGGAGCCAACTTTCACCTCTGTGCTCCAGCTCCAGCTCCAGCCCTGGATGGGTGCTGCTTGTCCCATTGGAAGGCCTGTGGAGGTGCCCAGTACCAGCAGGACTGGGATGACCTTGCTGAGCACAGCAGAACACTGCTTATTCTGGCTGTACTGCATGGGTTTAATAGCTGGCATGGACAAGCTCAGGTAATGTGGGGATATTACACAATTTTAGGCAGTGCCAATTCTGATTTACATTAGGAAAAGCTTTTGTACTGTAAGATACTGAGCCAGGAGCTGGGACAGGCTGCACTGAGGAGGGATTTGGGGAGCAGAAGGGGACAGCGCAGCTTGAGCTCAGTCCTGCCAGGCACTGGGTCTTCCAGTCCTAATCTCCCCGACTCCAGGGTTCTGTGAGCCCACCAGTGGGGTGCTGTGTTATCCGGGTGCTGGGAGGCTGCATGGGTAGTGGGCAAAGCCCTGAGGGTGCTGTGCTACTGGCTGAGTGCGTGTGTGGATTTATCTGTATCCCAGTGAGTCCTGCTTCCCATCTTTAGTGCTTTTCCCCTTGCTGACTGTTTTCTTGGCCAGCTACCGTAGCTCTGTAGCTCTCTCAACCAACCGGGCTGCAGGGAACCCTCCTGTGCCACATGGAGCAGGACACCCCTGTGGTGGCAACAGGGGGGACACAGCCTGGGGACCCTAGGAGCAGAAGTGGCTGTGGCCAGCCCTGGAGCGACGCTGAGTGACGTGAGCTTGCTGGGAATCTGCTGAGGAATATTTTTATCCGCTGGGTGTGAGCGCTGCGCGTCAGAGCCATCTGCTGCACAGTCGTTTTGGGGAGAGCTGGGAAGCACAGGCATGGAAATCTGTGCAAATGAGTGCATTCCTGTGCCCTTCAAAGCTCTGTGTCCCCAAGTCTCCTCCACGGGTGTCTGGGGACAGGACAGAGCCGAATCCTTGTGCAGCTGGGGGAGAGACAAGCGCTCGCATTCCCTAAAATGGAGATGGTCTTGAGCTCTATACAGTGAGCCCCATGTCTTGAAAATGGTTTTGGGAATGGGATGCTGAGTGAAGCATGGGAACAGCCCCACTGCACCACCCAGCCTGCTCCCCATCACTCTCCTTGTATCTTTCCAGCTTGCTTTGGTTTGCACTCTCCTAGGAAGCGTGCACCCAATGTGCAGCATCCCTGCTGCAGAAGGCACTGAGAGGCAAACCCAGAACCCTGCACTGAGCAGCCACAGCAGGATGTTTCTGTGTGCTGGATGGGGGGAAGGAGTCCCAGGATAAAAATAAGCAATAAAAAGAAATGGAGACATCAGCCCGTGCTCCAACACCGGATCTGCTCATCCTAAAATATCAGGCTGTTGACATTCAAAACCCATATTCAGAGCCTCTTTTTGCAACAAGCAGAATCCCCACATCCTCGTGACAGACGCCAGGTGACAGCTTTGTGCTGATTTCCTGCACCCCTGTGAAGGGTTTGTACCAATTCCTCCAGAGAGGATTTAAAGTTGTCTGTGCCATGACACGCTTGGTGTCCACCATCAGGATGCCTGTGCTGCAGGAGGGAGTCCCCAGGAGCTGCAGCTCTGTGTCCACAGCCTCCATTACAGGGGGCCATGAGGTTTTGTGGGGCTGGGAAAGAAACACTGAGGCTGGTGGTGGAGACACAGCTGGAGGAGACCTTGAGGGAGGTAGGAAAGAGATGCAAGTGAGACTTTTTGCCCCGAAGAAAACCCACTCAACATCTTCTTAAAACTAAAATGGAAGTTTTCCCCTTCACTTTTCTCCTGGGAAACAGAGAGAAATGGGAAAGGGGAATGATTCAAGAAGTTTGGGGTGAAGAGGTCGGGGAGGTTTATTCTGCCAGAAGCGAAGAAACACTGCAGAATTAGGAAAAATCCAGTGAAAAATGTCCTTTTTTTGAGAGAGAGAGGCCACTTTTCCATTCTTTTTAAACAAAGTTTTTCATGAAAAATTTCAGGCACTCCCATTGTTTTGCTGCAGCCTTTGATTTAACTACTTGATGGAGCAGTCGACAAAACCCTCCGTGTTTTTCAGGAGGTTTCTTAAATCCTGCCGAGGTATGGGATTATGGGGAACAACAAATGGCAAAGCTGTCTCTAACCCCACAGACTTTCTCACTCTCGTTTTCTCTCTCTCTTTGGAATAAAAAATGCAGCGCTCCCCGCTGAGTTCTCTTTAAAATTCACATTGTCTCTTCAAATAAAGGCTGGGAGGGTGAGGTAGCACTTTGAAAACCAGAACTCGGTCATACATTGCAGGGCCACATCCCAGAGGATTATTCTCTCTCGGGACACTTTATAACTTCATGAGAACTTCAGGCCTGCCTCGTCCCACCGGCCCCGTGCATGGCAGGGTGACTGTCCCCAAGCTTCTCCACCTGTGTCAGCTTCCCCATCATGGTGCCCTCTCACTTTTCCTCACTTTTTGGGGTGATTTCCAGTTGCACCCTGGAGCTCCTGGCCTGACTGCTGAAAGGTTTGTGAAGGACAGTTTGTGTTCCTGTAAGCAGTGGGAACCCTGTGCGTTCCACCTCTGGTCACCATGTGCTGGGGGGGTGTCTGAAGGCCACAGGTTCCCGTGTTGCCCCATGGCACATGTGGGGCCGCAGCTGGTTTGACTTGAGGAGCACTGGGGGTCCTGGTGGTGGCGTGGGAAAGCTGAGTCCTCCCCCATCCCTTATCCTCTGCCGGAGAACCATTGAATCATTAAGGCTGAAAAACAGCTCTAAGATCCTCCAGTCCAACAGTCACCACCGTGTCCCTCAACACAGCACGCGGCTAATGAGACACAGCTTAACGAGCTGCTTTTAGTAGTGGACCATCCTCACCTGGCCTTTAGCAAACCCTTAAGCAACACTGCAGCCTGTTGAAATTAGGATGGTGCCTTTCACTCTTGCGGAACCACTTCTGTGATTCCCAGTGAACAGCAGCAGGCAGCGGGGCTGGGCTGAAGCACGAGGTGTGCACACATGGGCTGCCCCCAGCATTCACCCAGCTGCCCTGCTCGTGTGTTTGCAGGGCTGTGAGCACATGGCTGAGCATCCAGCACATGTAGGTGCTGCTGCTGAGGCATTCCTCCAGAAAACTCTTGGAAACAAGAAAACGGTGGGCGGGAAAAAAAATAAAAAACAACCAAAAGAAAACCAACCAACGAATGTCAGTTTTGACGAGTGCTTCAAGCTCACCGTTCAAACCTGTCACAGCGATGTCAAAACTCACCGGCTTAGTGAATGTATTAAACCTGGAGCAGAGCCGCTGCATTTCCAGCTCCAGTTCAAAACGAACGGTCGCCTCCAGCCCGCACCGAGGGATTTCCTCCCCTCGGATCCAGGTAGGGTCCCCGCAGCCCCGCTGGGAGGAGGCGGGTCCGGCCCGGGTCCGGGCGGCGGGGAAGATCTCCCGCTCGGGGCGAGCGTGCAGCCGCGCGTTGGGCTGCGAGCTCCGCTCCGCCTCTCCGGGCGGGTGGATCCCGGCTCCTGAGTTTCCCGGGGGCTGCAGAGGCTTGTCCCAGCCCTGCGCGATCCTGCTTGGCTGCCGCCCTCCCCGCCTCCCTCTCCCTCCTCCCTCTCCCTCTTCCTCCTCCCTCTCCCTCCTCCTCCACCTCCTCCACCACCACCACCACCACCCCATGTGCTTCCTGCCGGGCCAAGTTTGCAGAGCGCCGCCGCACGCACGGCCCAGCGGAGCGGAGCCGCGGCGGAGAGGAGCGGGGTGCACGGCAGCGGGCGCGGCTCCTGCGCGGCGCGGGCTCGGCGGAGGGCCGGCTCCGGCTTCGGGCCGCGCTCCCCCGGCCGCGGCCCCGGCGGCCCCCCCCCGCCCTCCTGCACCATGCCGCGGCGGCGCGGCTCCCTGCCGCCCCTCGTCTGCACTTTAGCCGCCCTCAGCCTGCCGCTGCTTCTGGCTGCCGAGCCCCGCGCTAAAAGTTGCTCCGAAGTGCGGAGGCTCTACGCCGCCAAAGGCTTCAGCCAGAGCGAAGCGCCCAGCCACGAGATCAGCGGTGAGTCGGGGAGGATCGCGGCTCCTTTGTGCTCGGAGCCCCGCGCTCCGCCGGGCCGGGCTCTGCGGGGTGCGCTGCCTTCCCGCTGCCGGGCTGCGGCTCCGGATCCCGGTGCGGCTCCCCGAGCTCAGCCGGGCCGGGCCCGCGCCTGTTGCCGGCTCGCTCGCTGCCGCAGGCGGTGCTGCGGCCGCCGTTTCCCTCCCCGGAGCCGTCCCGGTACGGGCGGGCGAAGTCTCAGCGAAATGATTTCTTTTTCTTTCTTTCCTTTTTTTTTCTTTTTTCCCTCCTCCTTGGTTGTTTCCCCCCCCCCCCCCCCCCCATCCCGAGGTACTCGCGCATCCCGGGGACAGGAGTGCTCGCAGTCGGCAGCCGTAGGAAATGGTAGCTAATGTGCTCACACCCAAAACATTTTATTCTTTTTGTTTCATCCTTCGTCTCCCTCCCAGGGCTGCTGCTTTTATTTCCCCTTCTGAATGACCTACTGGACCGCATTCTCCGCGGAACAAAGGAAGTGCCTTTTTAGCTGGAATCCTCGGAGACCACCAAGGACTCCGGCTCATGCACTGCAATTTCGCACTACTTTTAACAATAACAAAAATGCATGACTGAATGGTTCAAAAATGTGGAGTGTTAGGGGCATTCATTTCAGTCTGGGACGCTGTCACAACACAGACAGACCCCAAGTAAATACCTTTAGATGGCGGGTAGAGAAGTTGAGGGTAATCTTTAGCATTGGCGCTCCCTCCAGTTCCGCATACGTTATCCTTGAAATGATTTCAATCGGATGCACTTTTATTTTGGCAGACTAATGGTTCTCTTTTCTCCCGTGACTGAGTGAAATTGAGGGCCCGTTCACTTCTCCAAGAAATATTTTAATGAGAAACGTCTGACCAGTTGCAGTTAAAACAATTTCTCCACCCTCCCTGCTTTGGGAAGGTCTCTAATAAATGGGTTTATCTTTGATTTGAGGAGCTGGACATGGGCAGGTTTCCTTGCACCCCCGGTGTCTGGAAGGTTTGTCCCAGTCCTTGTCTCATAGAATGGTATTTAAGGTGATCTCTGGGGGATGTCAGGTTGGATCCTGGTAGCAGTGCTCATGAAGCTGACCTTTTGTAAGGAGGGCTCAGAGATGTGCGAGGAGCAAGGTAAGGTAAGGGGCTTTCTGCTGTGCCACGCTGAACACACCACCTGGGTTATGTCACTGTGCTGGGGATGTGGGAAAACTGCAGCTGCAACAGGTCCTCTGCAGTTCTGTGTTAAAAGGCTTGGTGGAAGGCTCTAAATGCAGTGCACTGCGTGCTCCTTGAAAGTGCGACGTGCCTTGAATGCTGCTGCCCTTGGAGTTAAACCTTGCGTGGGGTGCAACACCTGCTGCAGTTTCATATTCCCCTGCAGATGCGGTGGTTTTGGTGTGTGTGGTGTTAAAAGGCTCCTGACCCCCCCCCTTTGGGCTGCTCCTCAGCCATTGTATGTAAATGAAGAGGTGCTCACAGCTCATCCTGCTGCTTTGGGATTTGTGAGCACTGCCAGGTGTCTCCTGTGACCCTCATGGGGGCTGAGGTCTGACATGGGTACAGAAGGTCTGCAGTGCACATGGTGCCTCCAAAAATGAGTCATCAGCCAGACCTTTGGTCTCCATTGGTGATTCAGCTGAAGGCGATGTGCTCTGAGATGATGTGTGTGAGGGAAGGAGCCCAGCTCTATTGGGTTCTGCTTTACGTTTCAGTGCTGGTTTGCTTGGCTGTGTGCTGCTCTCCCATCCTCCTGCAGAACTGCTTCAGATCACGGTGCACAGCCAGACTTCCTCGTGTGTCTCCAGAAAGGTGCCCTACAGGCTGTAGCAAACTGTTTTTTGTAGGGTTTCTCTGCTCTCAGAGCGGGGCTTACCCAGCCTACAGATCTGGTGGCCTTGAGTTGTCAACATGCAGCAGTGTGGGCAGAGACATCTCTGCAACGAGCTGTGTGACAGCAAGTGGGACATGTCCTCACTTGGTGGGTGCAGGAGTCCTTCTAGGACGTGGGGGCATCTCGTGTGGGTATTTCACCCTATTTATGTTCTTCCAGAGCAGCAGGTTTGTGCAACGCTGTGCTGCAATGGGCTGATGTTTTATTTCTTTTTATTTTATCCACACCATTGCTGTTCTGGTTGGATTAAATGGGTATTCCTTGTGCATAATTACCTAGGAGTTCGAGTTAATGTTTATTTAGATTAGGTTTAGAATATGTAAATGGCAGGTATATCATGTATTTTAATTATATCTTGCCGATGTAAGTGGGCATTTCTGAAAGAAGCGCACAGCTGGTCAGCTGCTTGCTCCATGAGAGGTGTACAACCTGTTCTTTGTAGCAAGGAAAGCAGAGAAATTGTTTCCTTTCATTTAAAGCTGGTGTTGGAGGTGTAAAGAGATACCACCAGGAGGAATGTGCGCTGGGATTTTCCTAAGATGAGGTCTGTAGGAGCTTCTGCCCTATGGCCCTGTGATACTTTGTGTCACGGTGATGTGCGGTCTTGCTTCTGTTGCACTTAAAGCTGCCTGGTGTGGAGGGTTGGCATTGAGAGCATCTCTGTTGGTGTGGTATAGGAAGTGAATTGGTGGTGGGGATGGTGGCATCCCTGAGATCCCAGTGGGTGGCTGTGATTTAAAACCAAAAATCCAGCGTTCCTTTGAGCTGAGGCTCCTTCTTGATCCAAGGCATTGGACTCGTGGAAATCTCTTCCCTTTTCCTGCGAGCTGCAGGAAGGAGGTGTTTCTTTTCCCCAATTAAAAGGGAAAAAAGCTCTCTCTGATTGGTGGAAGGTATCATCTGTTAACCTGGGAGTGCCCTGTGGAGGTATAATGTGTTCCCATCTCTTCATTTCCTCGTGTGGAGGTTTTAGAGGAGTCCTTGAAGCAGATTTGGAAAACATTGGCTTTTAGGTGGCTGCAAGCAGGCAGAGCTCTGCAATCTTAGGAGCGATGCTTCTATTTCTCATTTAATCCAATCTCATGGAATAGGTGTGTCTGTTGGTGGTGCATGGGAGAGGTTCTTTTCCTTGAGGCTGAGGAATCACTTGGCCCCTCAGCTTTGGGCTTTTAGGATCTTGCCTGAATCTGCTGGAGGAGTGCCCTGCTGCCCCGTTGTCACCTGAGTGCTGTCACCACTGCGTCACCCAGCTGTGCCCTCCTGGGCAATGGAAACAGCTGTGGGCACTGGGGGGCTCTGGGGTAGGGACTGGCCCCAGGGAGCACTGCACGCTCCTCACGCTCTGCCTGCAAGTGTGCCTGGCTGCCTGATGGAGCCGGGACTGCTGTCTCCCACCCTGGGGTGCATTAACAGAACGATTGTCCATGGGCTGGGAGGAAACCGTCGGAGAACATCCTTGTGACGAGCTCGGAAAAGCAAATGAGCAAAACCCTGGATGTATTTTTAGCCGCTTTTAATGTCATCGAGCAACTGGGAGCAGCGGGGGGCAGCTGGCAGCGTGCGAGCACCAGCCTGGGAGCAGAGAGACTGCTGGAGATGGGGCAGAGAGAAGCCGGGGCTGCGCTGAGCTCCGGCAGCTTGCAGGGCTGCTCCGCTACAGCAGCACGTTGTGTTCTCGTGCACTGTGTGGTTACCGGCAACCGCGGTCCGGGCTGAGTGGGAGTATCGTTTTCCTTGGCAGATGCTTCATAGAAAGTTCTGTTTTTTCTGCCAGAATAAGCAGTCGTTACATTCCGTACGATTCATAGTCAAATGATTATCTATTGTTAAAATCGCCTTAATTATCAGATGTTTCCTTAGACGTGTAGCTGTTTTTTTAAAAGGCTGAATGGGAGCGTGTACACTGTGCAGCTCAGGCCTCCTGCACAATGTTTTTAGGACTGTTTTGTAATTTCAGGGAGATTTTCTGTGGCTTTCGTATGTCAACAGGCTTTTTATTCTCCCTGAGACTGCAGCAGAGCGAGGCGCCGGGCAGAGCTGCCGTGCGTTGGGATGCTGTGTCTCCCTGCACTGTGTGTGCATCCCTTCTGGGCTAGGAGCAGGGAATGCTTAGGCTGAAATGAGGCTGTGAGCTGTGGATGTGAGGTGACCCTGATGGGAGAAGGTCTCAGATGAGGCTTTTTTTTTTTTTTTTTCTTGGAGGTGTAGGTAGGCAATGATGGAGGCTGGAAGGGTCCCAGCAGGGTGCTGGTGTGTGTGGAGGTGGGGTGGGCTGGCAGGTGCTGTCTTGGGTGTGGGCAATGTGTTTGTCTCTGGGGTGCAGCCAGGGCTGTGTGTTGATGGAGAAGGTTTGGGCAGCACCATGGTGGAGAATCATGGTAGAATGGTAGGATCATTAAGGTTAGAAAGATGTCCAAGTCCAGCCCCAACCCACCTCACTGTGCTCATCCCCACATCCCTCAGTGCCACATCCCCACAGTTCTGGAACACCACCATGGTTGATGACCCCACAACTCCCTGGAAAGTGCTGCTGTGTCTGCTGCAAAATCTTTCACCTCCTTCCAAAAAAGAGCGATCCTCGGGACTCAATTCCCTGCTTTTGTTCTGCTTGCCTTTTTTTTTTTTCCTTTTTCTTTTTCTTTTTTTTTTCCCCTTTCCAAGGAAGTCCTTGTTAACCAAAAAGCTCTGTGCCCCCCCTCCAGCTCCCGGGGGCGGGGGGCTGCCAGCGCTGGTCTCCGGGGCAATAACCTCCTCGCATTCCTTGCATTCCTTCTGCTTTCTCTTTCTTCTGAGATTATGAAGATAACTTCCTTCTCCCATTGCTAAGCAATGTGAGGGCTCAGGAAAACTCTTGAATTCTCGCCCCTGCTCCCTGAATTACCTTGTGAGCTCCCCTGTAGCAACCTCTTCCAGTCTGTTTGCTGGGTT